GAGAGAGAGGCAGAGGGAGAAGCAGGCTCCCAAGGAGCAGGGAGCCCGACGCGGGACTCGATCCCAGGACCCTGGGATCATGACCTGAGCCAAAGGCAGACACAACCATCTGAGCCACCCAGGCGCCCCCAAAGGAATTTTTTTTTGTTAAAGTAGACTTACAGGATCCTGGAGGTCGGGCTAAGGTTGCCTTTTGCCCGTATTAACATCCAGGCAGTTGAATCCCTACAGAAATGTCACTCTGCCTGTTTGAAGGACTTGTCAATCGGCTTTGGGTAGTAAGGAAATTAAAAAATTTTTTCTTCTGCCTTTGTTTCCAACATCATTGGGGAGAGCTGGGGTTGTAGAATCACACCTGGACCCAAGTGCCTCTTCATGTGGCTGGACCTTGGGGAGATGCCTCCATGTTTCTGAGCCTTAGTTTTCTCATCTGTGAAACCGGGATGATCTTAGGTTACTCATAGAGTTGTTATGAGGATTAAATGAGTTAATCCGTTGGGAGTGTTTAGAACTCAATTACAGTAAAAGAAGAAGAAGATAGCAGGAGGGGGAGACCAACCATGAGAGACAATGGACTCCGAAAAACAAACTGGGGCTCTGGGGGGGGGTGAGCGGGTGGGTTAGCCTGGTGATGGGTATTAAAGAGGGCACGTTCTGCGTGGAGCCCTGGGTGTTATGCACAAATAATGAATCATGGAACACTACATCCAAAACTAATGATGTAATGTATGGTGATTAACATAACAATAAAAAACTTAAAAAAAAAACTCAATTACAGTAAGCCGTTATTCCTTATGAAAGCAGAGGGGCTTGCTCCAGGACAGCCCTAAAGCCAGGCCTCACATCCACGACTTTCGCCATTAACTCCCGATGACGCAAAGTGTAAGCTTTCTGTGTTTGAGGTAAACACGTTCCACGCACCTTGGGGGGAAAAAGCCGAGGGTGCCTCCGCCGGATGTCACCGGCGGGTTAGCAGCCACTGCCCCGCCCCGCTCGTCCCAGCCCCGCCCACTCAGGGGACCTCCGCGTCCCCGCCCCGCCCCACACAGTCGTGTCCAAGCTCCGCCTCCCCTCCTGGAAAGAACGCCCGGAGCCGCGGGCGCCACCCCCCGGCTAAGTCTGGCTACTGGGAATGAAAGGTCTCGCTATGCGGGAGACTCGCAGTGATGGACAGACTCATTCACTGAAAGAATTGATTCATTCATTCAGTTCATATGTATTAAGCACCTACTTTGTGCCACATGTCAGTAGATCGCTCTGTGGTGCTCAGTTAACAAATGGACACCCTGAAATTCAGAGAGGAGTTTGTCTTGCCAGACTCAGGCAGGTCCCCTGCTCTCGGTTTATTAGTGTCTTCAGGAATATGATGATGCAATTGTTAAACATCAGCATTTACTCACACTCAAGACCAACCAGGGCATCTACCGTGATCCCTGAACCTGCCGGGTCCTATTTTAGGTCTCCTTCCAGAACCCCCGCAGTCAGTGTTGGAGACTTCTGGCTCTCAGACTCAGGGAGGATGACCAATACCTGGGTTGTTTGGAGAAGCCATGGCAGCAGGGTAAGCAGTGTGAAATTTGTTGAGGCAATAGCAGTTGAAAGGCCATCAGGCTCCCAGAGTAAGGAGGCTGGGGGGGGGGGGGGGGGGGGGAGAAGCATAGGAAAGGAGGATCTTAAATGTCTTCACCACAAAAAAGAAATGGCAATTATGTGAGGTGATGGAAATGTAAACTAAGCTATTATGGTAATCATTTTGCAATACCTGAGTGTATCAATTCAACCTTTGTACACCTTAAACTCACAGTATTTTTTTTTTAAGATTTTATTTACTTATTTGACAGAGAGAGACACAGTGAGAGAGGGAACACAAGCAGGGGCAGTGGGAAAGGGAGAAGCAGGCTTCCCGCGGAGCAAGGAGCCTGATGCGGGACTCGATCCCAGGGCCCTGGGATCATGACCCGAGCCAAAGGCAGACGCGTAACGACTGAGCCACCCAGGCGCCCCTAAACTCACAGTATTATAGGTCACCATGAGGACAGATCATTACAACCCAGGATAATCAAGGTATGTTCATGATCAACCAGGGCAGGGAGGCATTTCTTTATACTCCTCACCCCACACTCAGTAAAATTAAGACAGGTGCAATGACATCACCAGATAAGATCTTGAGTCTGAGGCTCTGTCACTCTAATGAGGACTTAGTGGAATTGGCTACTATCTTGCCTCATGTCCACTCTTGGAAACATGCACGGGAGCTGATACAGAACCCTGGGACCTAGGGCAGTGCTAGCACAGAGGAAATGCCCAGGGAACATTTTTATGTCTCTCAGGCAGAGGGTGGTACAGTGGGGAAATATATGAGCCCTGATTCTGATTGCCTGGGTTTGGATCTCCATCACCTCCTGCCTGTGTAGCTTTGGGTAAGATATTTAGCCTCTTGGTTACTCACTTTCCTCATCAGAGAAATGGGAATAATAATAGTATTTACCTCATTGGTTTGGTGCCAGGATGAAATGAACCCTTAGCACAATACCTGGCACAAAGTAAGCACTTAATAAAGGGTAGAAATTATTAAATGAAAATGGCTAATCTTACCTAGCTGAGCATTTAATGTCAGGTATTGTGCTAAGTTTTACAGATGTCACCTTATTTAATCTGGTAAACAATCCTCTGAACTGTTCCTTTTACAGGTGGAAAAACAGGTTCTGTGGGACGCCTGGGTGGCTCAGTCAGTTAAGTGTCCCACTTTTGATTTTTGGCTCAGGTCATGATCTCAGGGTCATGAGATCAAGTCCTGTCCAGCTCCCTGCTCAATGGGGAGTATGATCCAGGATTCTCTCTCTCTCCCTCTGTCCCTACCCTCACGCCTGCACTCCCGCACACACGTGTGTGCTCTCAAATAAATCTTTTAAGAAAAAAAAAAAAACAGGTTCTGAATGATTTTTTTTTTTTTTTAAGTAGGATCCACACCCAATGTGGGGCTTGAACTCATGACCCTGAGATCAAGAGTCCCATGCTGTACCGACTGAGCCAGCCAGGTGCCCCAAATAGGTTCTGAATGAGACAGGAGCAGAGGATGAACATGATCCACCAATATGCTCAGATACTCAATATGCTTATTGTTATCTTGCAGCCAATAAAGATAATGATGAGATCCATAGTCATTAACATAGGAAGAGGTCTATTGTGCAAAAGAGTAAACTACAAAATAATATGAACAGCATGAGCCCATTCTGTTTATGGAAGGATATCACTACAGTGTTAACAATGATTGCCTCTATTAGTGGAATCGGGGCCCACTTTTTCTTTTTTTCCTTTTTGCTCTTTTTTGATTTTCCTCCAGTGGGGCCACGAGCATGTATTGTTTGTGTAATTAAAATGTTTTAAGGGCCTTACATTTTTTTTAAAGATTTTATTTATTTATTTGATAGAGGGAGAGAGGGAACACAAGCAGGAGGAGTGGGAGAGGGAGAAGCAGGCTTCCTGCTGAGCAGGGAACCTGATGTGGGGCTTGATCGCAGGACCCTGGGATCATGACCTGAGCTGAAGGCAGACCTTAACGACTGAGCCACCCAGGCATCCCGAAGGGCCTTACATTTTTAAGAGGATCCCCAAATGTTCAATTTAGCTTCCCTTGTAGGCTGTTTAAAAAGGAAGAAAACAAAAACAAACGTACCCTGACCACTTTCAATTTCCCCCTTTTTGGGGGGTGGGGGTCAGTTCCCTCTCTGGAGGTGGATAAGATGCTCTTGGGAACTGAGGCAGAACCATACAATTCTTCATAACCCTGGAGTCAGGCGGACATGAGTTTGAATTCCAGCTTCACCACCTGCTGGCTGTGTGATGGAGAAAATTTACTAAATCTGTTTTGTCCTTTGTAAAAAGGAGGGAACACCCACTGGGTAGGATGGCTGTGAACAATCATCACTCCTTGCCTGGAGCGTGGAGAATGCCCAACCGTTGGTAGCTATTTCTACAAGAGAGAAGATAATAATAACTTATTCTAGTCAGAATAAAGTGCATGACCTCATCACTACATGACTGACCAAAGACAACTGCTGGGGAGAGAAACAGGTCTTAGGGGAGCGTTCTCCTTCACACAGTCCCGCTCTCGCATTCCTGGACCAGGGCAGCTATCTGCTGGAGCAGCTAATGAGGCAATTTCTTAAGAAGGGATTAGGACCACCTAATTTAGCACTAAGCTGTATACTTTGTACACTTTGCAGAGACCTGATAACCTGCCACATGGAGAAAATGTGTCTCTTTGTTTCTGGCAAGAATCAAAAACGAATCTGTGACATACAGTAATAAAAACGAAGGACAGCTGCCACTTATAAGCACCACTGCTACATCCCACTTCTTTCCAAGCTTCACACCTGCTCTGTGGTACCCGCCCCCCAGGCAGCATGGGCTGCAGGACTTGAGCAGCTCTCTTCTCTGATGCACCTCTGTAACTTCACCTCCCGTGCAACTGCAACCCGTCCCCCCTGCCTGAGCCACCACAGCCCCTGACCTCTGACCACCCTCTCTCTGAGTCTGTACTCTAATTCCCGATTGAGAAATCCTCTTACACGAGAACACTATAATCTGCTCTTGGTTAGACAATCGAAAGAATTGGTTTAAGAGAGAAATGACACGTCTTAAACGTTTTATGTCCACTTAAAAAAATTCACCAATCTTTTGACCCTGAAGGAGGGTTTTATCATTGAGAAACTCTGTTGGAGTTCTCCTTCCCTTTCCTTGCATAAACCGTGTCCTTACACAAATCAACCTGAGAGTTCCAGTTTTGGGTGACTTTAACGTGGAGTGAGAACTGAGACCCTTTCCACGTGAATGTGGAATCCTCAAGGACGTCCCCCTGCACCACCCTCCCCACCCCCCGCCCCTGCCCCAAGTCTTTTCAGTAAGGAGTCTTGCTCATATCTAATTCGGGAGCATTTTAAGGAAGGGGTGGCAACCCACTGTTATCAGGTCTCTGCCAAGTATACAACTTAGTTGGACTAGATTCCTTCATTTTTCAATCCTATTTCACTGGTTAGCTAAGTCTCAGCATTACAGCATAAAGCACAACTGACATGAACAGGTTTGGGAACACATGTACTGACTACCAGTAGGCATGTTACTCTTGACCTCTGGCTCCGAGGGTCATGGTAACTCTAGTATCAGGACGTCAATGAGAGAATGGGGAGAATCAGTGAAGAGTTTCTTGCAGACTGGTTCACTCCCACATTCATTCCTGATTGAATGATCCACATTTGTGCTGTTCCAGGTTGAGGGCCTCGAAGGACTGGACAACAGGACGGTAAATAGCTGTGTAAATCTCCTTCTCATAGCTGATGATGGTCTCCCTTTGCTGAGCTGAAGGCTGAACAAGGAATGCCAGATCCTTGGAAATCAAGAAGAGTTTATGAAACACTTCATTTATGTAGTAGCCCTTGGCTCAAAGCTATGGGAAAATGTGTCAGCCCTGTTCTCAAAGATATTATATCCTAGTCAGAATACCTATATGAAACAATCCCCATTTTTGAAGATTTACCACGTACCCCTTTTCTGCATACATGAACTCGTTCTGATCCAGTATGACATACCTGCACATATTATAGATTTAATTTCGGCAACAGCCCCATGAGACTGTTTTAGTACACTCCCCATTTTCACCTGAGAAAAAAAGAGGTGCTGAGAGGTAAGGACCTGGCCTGGGTCTACCCAGCTGGAAACCGGCAGATTCAGGCATATTCTGTAGGGATTCAATAAAAGGCTGGCTCCAAGGGGTCTTGACTTTCTGATCATCCTCATGGATCTTTTCCACATTTCTCAATTTGTCTCCTCTAGAATTAAATTCCATTCTGACTGTGATCCCA